GCTACAGAGATCCAGAGTTTTCTTGGTTTGGCGGTGTATTACCGTCGGTTTGTAGAGGGATTCTCATCTATTGCAGCACCTATGCCCAGGCTGACCCAGAAGGGTGCTCCGTTCAGGTGGACAGAGGAATGTGAGGAGAGCTTTCAGAAGCTCAAGACAGCTTTGACTACAGCGGTACAGCCCCAGTATTGGTATTACCTACAGGTTCGGGATCTTATACTATATATTATGATGCATCGCGGATTGGTCTCGGCGCGGTGTTGATGCAGGACGGTAGGGTGATTGCCTACGCGTCCAGATAGCTAAAGGTGCACGAAAAGAACTATCCTGTCCACGACCTTGAGTTAGCAGCTATTGTTCATACATTAAAGATTTGGCAGCATTATTTGTATGGTGTTCCTTATGAGGTTTACACCGATCATCGGAGTTTGCAGCATCTGTTCAAGCAGAAGGATCTTAATTTGCATCAGAGGAGGTGGTTGGAGCTGCTTAAGGATTATGATATCACCATTTTGTACCACCCTGGGAAGGCCAATGTGGTGGCTGATGCTTTGAGTCGCCGGGAAGAGAGTTTGGGGAGTTTAGCATATCTACGAGCAGCAGAGAGGCCATTGGCGTTGGATGTTCAGGCCTTAGCCAGCTAGTTTGTGAGATTGGATATTTTTGATCCGAGTCGAGTATTGGCTTGTGTGGTCTCTTGGTCTTCTCTTTATGATCGTATCAGGGAGGGTCAGTATGTTGACCCCCATCTACTCGTCCTTCAGGACAGGGTTCGGCGAGGTGATGCTAGAGATGTGACTATTGGTGATGACGGCGTGTTGAGGATGCATGGCCATATATGTGTGCCCAATGTAGATGGCTTGCGTGAGTTGATTCTCTAGGAGGCTCACAGCTCGCGGTACTCCATTCATCCGGGTGCCGCAAAGATGTATCAGGACTTGAAACAACATTACTGGTGGAGAAGAATGAAGAAAGACATAGTGAAGTATGTTGCTCGGTGCCTAAATTGCCAGCAGGTGAAGTATGAGCATAAGCGGTCGGGTGGGTTGCTTCAGATGTTAGAGATTCCGGAGTGGAAATGGGAGCGAATCACTATGGATTTCGTTGTTGGGCTCCCACGGACTCAGCGGAGGTTTGATGTAGTTTGGGTGATTGTGGATTGGCTGACCAAGTCGGCTCATTTCATTCCTGTGATGACTACCTATTCTTTCGAGCAGCTAGCTCGAATCTACATCCGTGAGATCATCAGGCTTTATGGCGTGCCGATATCTATTATCTCTGATCGGGATACGTAGTTTACATCACGGTTCTGGAGAGCTGTACAACATGAGTTGGGTACTCGGGTTGAGTTTAGCACAACATTTCACCCTCAGACGGATGGACAATCCGAGCGCACTATTCAGATATTGTAGGATATGCTTCACGCTTGTGTGATAGATTTTGGGAGTGCTTGGGATCGGTTTTTGCCACTTGCGGAGTTTGCTTACAATAACACTTATCAGTCTAGCATTCAGATGGCACCGCATGAGGCTTTGTATGGTAGGCGGTGTCGGTCCCCAGTGGGTTGGTTCGAGTCGGGCGAGGCTAGATTATTGGGTACAGACTTAGTTCAAGATGCCCTGGATAAGGTGATGGTGATTCAGGATCGACTTCGCACAGCTTAGTCCAGACAGAAGAGCCATGCGGACCGGAAGGTTCGTAATGTTGCATTCATGGTTGAAGAGCGGTTCTTGCTCCGGGTTTCGCCTATGAAGGGTGTTATGAGGTTAAGAAAGAAGGGCAAGCTGAGCCTACGGTTTATTGGTCCCTTTGAGGTGTTGCGACGAGTTGAGGAAGTTGCTTACGAGCTTGCCTTACCTCCCATACTAGGGGGAGTTCATCCGGTATTTTATGTTTTGATGCTCCGGAAGTATCACGACGATCTGTATCATGTGTTGGATTTCAGCTCAGTCCAATTGGACAAGGATTTATCTTATGTTGAGGAGCCAGTTGCTATTTCAGACAGGCAGGTCAGAAAGCTAAGGTCAAAGAACATTGCTTCTGTGAAGGTTCAGTGGAGGGGACAGCCGGTCGAGGAGGCGACTTGGGAGACCGAGCAGGATATGCGCAGCCATTATCCTCATCTTTTCACCACTTTAGGTATGTCTCTATACTCGTTCGAGGACGTAACGACCTGGCCGGTCGTTTTAAGAGTAATAGCCCCGATCCCCTATTTACTGCTTCTCCCATATCTATTTTTTGCTATTGTGACTTGCCGGGAGGTTTCGTTTTGATTTTTGGAGTGTTTTGGGACACTTAGTCCCTAAATTAAGGTTTAAGCCTTAGGATTTGGACCGTAGTCGGAACTGTGTGAAGACGATTCCAGAATGGAATTCCTTCAATTCCGTTTAGCTCTGTTAGGTAACTTTGGGTTTAGGGACGTGTCCGGATTTTGTTTTGGAGGTTTGTAGCTCATTTAGGCTTGAAATGGCTAAAATAGGAATTTAAGTTTTGAAGTTTGACCGAGGAGTTGACCTTTTGATATCGGGGTCGAAATCCAGTTCCGAAATTTTTTATAGCTCTGTTATATCATTTATGACTTGTGTGCAAAATTTGAGGTCAATCTGACTTGATTTGATAGGTTTCGGCATCGAATGTAGAAGTTGGAAATTCTTAAGTTTCATTAAGCTTGAATTGGGGTGTGAATTGTGATTTTAGTGTTGTTTGATGTGATTTGAGGTTTCAAATAAGTTCGTATGATGTTTTAGGACTTGTTGGTATTTTTGGTTGAGGTCCCGAGGGCCTCGGGTGAGTTTCGGATGGTTAACGGATTAAAAGTTGGATTTAAACAGGTGCTGCAAAAGGTGCTGGAATTTCTTCTATTGGAAATATAGAAATCGAACCCAGGATCGAAGCCCAGAAGTCGAGCCCAGGGTCGAGGGCCATGATCGAAGGCCAGAATCGAGGGCCAGGATCGAAGCCATGATCGATGCCCAGGATCGAAGGTTAGGATCGAGGGTCATGATCGAAGCCTTGATCGAGGGCCAGGATCGAGACAGGACCGAGGGCTGCCTGGACAGAATTATAGAACATGGGACTTCCATTTTTGACGAATTGGAGCTTGAGGAGAGGCGATTTTTGATAGATTTTCAAGAAAAAATATTTGGGTAAGTGATTCTAACTCAGATTTGGTCAATATACACGAATATATCATTATTTTCACCATTTAATTAGTGTATTGAGATGGAAATTTGGTGAAAATTTTAGAAATCTCATAGAAACGATTTTTTTTTTGAGATTTCGGTGTTAATTCGGAGTCGGATTTGAGTGAAACTAGTATGGTTGGACTCATAATTGAATGTGTTGTCGGATTTTGTGAGTTTCGCCGGATTCCGAGACGTGGGCTCCACAAGCGATTTTTGAGTTTCAGATTTTTTTTATTATTGAAAAATGTAGTATTTTCTTATGAAATTGATTCGTATAATTTTTGTTGAGGGTATCGAATTATTTTGGCTAGATTCGAGCCATTCAAAGTTGGATATTCATTGAAAAGGCATTCTTACCGATTGACTGAGCTTGGTTCGAGGTAAGTGGCTTGCCTAACTTTGTGTGGGAGAACTCCCCGTAATATTTGTACTGTTTTTGATATATGAGCGCCGTGCACGTGAGGTGACGAGTACGTACACGGGCTAATTGTGTAAAAAAAACCCCGATTTTTCTACTAAGTAATAACCTGATTTCCTTCTTATTTGAGTTCCATCAGCATGTGTGGTATCCGGCTAGACTAGAATAGCATGCCTACTTGCCTTAACTGTTTACTTGAACTACGTGCAGCATGTTTAGTGAATTTATCTGTTTTTCCTTAACTGGTACTTAGGTTGAACTGTAAAATTTTGTGTCATAACTATTGAATTCTATTATTTGGCTGCATATTTTACTTTGGGACTACAGAACGGTATTCCGGGAGATCCCCCTGTACTGCATATTTATTTTGGGACTACGGAACGGTATTCCGGGAGATCCCCCTGTTCTGCACATTTACTTTGGGACTACGAGACGGTATCTCGGAAAATCCCCTATTGTTATCTGTGTGTACTGAACTGTTGTCTTCCATGATTTCATTCTTGTTAAATTTAAGTCTTTATTTTACTGTAGTATTTCATTCTATCTTGTGTTATTTTATATATATATATACATATATATATATATATATATATATACCAGTAGGGCCCTGACCTGACCTCGTCACTACTCGACCGAGGTTAGGCTTGACACTTACTGGGTACCGATTGTGGTGTACTCATGCTACTCTTTTGCACATATTTTTCGTGTGCAGATCCAGGTACTCCTTATCAGCCGCACTATCAGTAAGCTGGGACAGCTTTGGAGATTTCAAGGTATATCTGCCGCGTCCGCAGACCTCAGAGTCCCCTTCTACTCTTCACCATGTCCATTATCTTCTGTATTTCTTTTGATAGACTCTGATGTATAGAAACACTAGATTTTCCTCCTGTAGTTTGTGATTCACGATGTTCCGGGTTTTGGGAATGCTGTGTAGTATATTGAGGAGTTAGTTGTTAAATTTATGTTTTCATCTCATTTATTCCGCAAAATGATAGGCTTACCTAGTCATAGAGACTAGGTGCCGTCACGACGTCATACGGGGGAAAATTGGGTCGTGACAGGCCTAAACTTGAGAAAAGAGCAATTATGACGCTGCTAATCGTGCTGCACCTATGGTGATAACGGATTGATCTTCTTCTTCTTCTTCTTCTTCTTTTTTGGATAATTTTTAATGAATAGCAATATGTAGAGTGATGGTGTATATCAGAAAGTCTTGCTCTACAAATTATTTCTTCTGCGAAAATGTCTGCCTTAATCTCAGAGTAGCAAAATGACTACAATTAAACTTTGTTGCCTATTTACCCTCATTTACATTGGCTGCTTCCACTCAAAACAAAGGAAAAGGATAGCAAGATGATTATTTCCATAGCTTAGCAAATTCAATCAACAGGGAACCAAAACTAATAGACGATCATATATTCTTTGATGTATTTAAAAGAACAAAAGCGAACTTATTTTTGTCAATCAGAATTAATGTTACCAAGAATGGCAAGAACAAAAATCATGGGAGATATCACCAACAAAACAGGACATAGCATTTTGCTGGAGAAAAATAAAAGACTAGTCCAGCTATTTACAAAGACTAATCCAAACCTTCTTCAGACCCCTAATCTTCTCTGCTAATTTTGTTTCAATCACATCTTCGCCGCTTTTTAGCTGGTGCATCTGTTTGATTAAGAGTCACCTCTCTTGTATCACAATGGTCCTCATTGATGGGTTTCTTCGAGCTTTTGCTATGATGAAACGAAGTCAGTTCCTCCACTTTCACCTTAGTAACATCACTCCTCACACCAATGTCACTTGCATACCTCGTCAAACAATACATTCCAGCGGTTGCTAAGACTAAGCCAGCCGGATTTGACATGAATAACTTAAGGGGTGAAGAAGCAATAGCTGCCAAAGGAGCACCTATAACAGAGGCAGCTTGACCGCTCCTTCCAAGAGCATCTTGGTCCGGAACAAGAAGACCTGTTTTACAGTACAAGGCAAAATCTTCACAGTTATTCTTGAAGACATCATAGTTTCCAAAACCATTTTGAAGCAAGTACATGGCTCTATGGATCACTGCCTCTGGAAGATCAGACTGTGCAGTGGTGCATGTGCCACCTCGGAGTTTAGTAAGAAAAACTGAAGGGCTGGCTCCATAGTCAAAGCGATATAATAATCCATCACCCAGGAAGCAATCCAAGCAAGAGAGGACCACCCCACTTTCCTTTAGTTGAAATCCACAGTCAGGGATATTTGTACAGGTTAAAGACACATTTGTACTCGAAGCTGACGAGCATTCTAATGGAACAGAGAGAAGAATTGCATCTCCTGAAACAACATTTTGCCCACGCGTAAAATGGACAACTTTGCTCCCACCAACGTAGATTCCTGCTCATGAATTTTCAGACATTTGAGAATATGACACCAGCAACCAGTACTAGAATATCACTAAGATCATTTTCGGTGACAACAGATACTGGAATATAAATGACTGGTACGCTGACAAGAAAGAAATATATAAAAGAGTTGAAGCCTACTGTGCCTCATTCACTAATTAACAGAAAGTGTTATCATGGTAATACATCAATATCAAAGGTGATCAGTTATCCAAAATTCAGGAGACATGCATGTTAACTCTAGGATCTAGAGTATTAACATGACAGATATCCGATATTTCCTGCTACTTTTATTAATAGATAATTCTATTGTTGATATAAATGTACCAAGGAGGTACTAAATATGCATAGAAGAGAGTCCATGAGCTCCAGGATGTTTTCTTTGTTATTTACATAGTTCCTCCTACACCAAGAGTATAAATGTCTAAGATATCTAAACTTTACATGGGCAATATATTCCCTTTTTCCCCTCAATAACCTACTAATCCTTCTGTCCAAGGTTTCCAGTGAACATAGAGGTATAGTCCTACTACTAAATTATCATCTTATCAGAATTAACTCATTAGCATTTTCAAAAGCAGCACCTGAAATGGACATGCTTCTTAAAGAGAACCGTGTCATCGCTTGTATCCTTTTCTTATGCTTAATCCACTATGATTTAGCTAAGATAAATATTCTTTGCATGTTGATATAATCCAAATGCAAAATAAGGCCCACTGAGATCATACAACACCAAACATTCTCTAAGTCATACTATTCTTTTGGTTCATCAACTATATTTTCAGCAAATTCGGAGATCCATATGTTACGGAACTGATACTATCTATGCATCTAATAGGACAATCAAATTTTTGTCTAGATGAAAGTAGTACACTTTCACAAGTTCCATACGTAGTTGACTGGGGAGAAAATGAGTTTAAATGGATAGCCTAAAAATGAAGACTGTTTCGAGTCACATAACATTTCAAAGGCATTGTAATATCAGTGCTAAGTAAAAATCAGAGATTAACATACATTATTTTCTCAAATCCAAGAAAAATTTACCAAATGAAGAACCATCCATCCTGTAATACAAGTGAGTTCTATATTTATGCACATCCCCCACGCCAAAAAACAAATTTGTTGACCTCTAGATTTGTGAATGTCTGTAACATCTCAATACTTCATTTTTTTTCTTTTCTTTTACACTATTACGTAAGATAAAAATGTTAACAGCCAGGCATTTTCTTCTTAAAATTCCCTATACTAATTTGCACTCCACGGACACAGAAAAAAAAATTGCTGGCTACAGCCAGGAGTCCCATATTATAAGAAATATTAGATTGTTTCTGGAAAAGTTGACATTTTTTCACCTATACGAGATACCCAAGACGACCCACGAAGAGGAAGGCAACAAAGAGGAATAAAACACCTAAAATAAAAACCGTTAATTTCAATTGTATGCAATCAGCCAAATTTATCCACAATTGACAAAGAAGGCTGGTTGTATTCCACAATCATTTCTCTAATCTAAAGCCCAAATGCTACTAAATACAACGCAAGATTGTTCATATGCGGTAGTAATTTTAGCTATAACTGCAGTTTTTGGCCATTTCCAGTATCATGAAATGAAGAAAAAAGTTACTAACATCTTACATTAGGATTTACTGAAAGGGAAAATTAGTGAAATAGGGTTACAGACTGACCGTGATGAGAGTATGTGAAGACAGTTCTCCAAGTGTAGATATGATCGCCTGCTGCTATCTCACTCCTTTCTACTCTGTGAGACAGCAGACCCATCTCTTTCCTTCTTTCAGCTTTTGCCAATCTAGGTTTAAAATGATAAGTGAGCACAAGGTTTAAGAATTAAACGATAATTTAAAATATGTTATTGAATATATTATATTATGGATGTTCCTTTAGTACTCTGTTGTAAATAAGCTTCGTCAAGAAGTTTATCCATATGAGACTCCGCCATAAATATATTTATCTATTTAGTACTCTATTGGAAATAAGCCTCCTGAAGAAGCTTATCCTTTTGGTACTCCGTTATGGATAAATATTACCCATGATAGAAGATTATCTATATGTGGCACAACAATTTAGAGCAGCAGCTTACAAGCAGCTTACACAGCAGTTTACAAGCAGCATACACAACAGCTTCCTTTCTTCTATAAATAGAAGAGAATTCAGTTCATTATGTACATAAGTTTGAAGTCAGAATAATATATCAGTTTCTCTCTATACTTGTCTTTATTTTACAGTCTTTATTTTATAACACGTTATCAGCACGAGACTCTG